CAGAAGCAGCAAGAAAGACAAAAAAAAAACCCCACACTGTGCTGGTTTTGGCCAGGATGGATTTCATTTCTTCTTTTTTCTCTCCGTAGATAATGTAGTGTGGTGATGTACTGGTTTCTGTTAAGTTGTGTTTATCCCAAATCAGGGACATTTTCTTTCTTGCGTCTCATGCTCTACCAGTGAGAAGGTACACAAGAAAACTGGGAGGGAGCACAGCCAGGACAGGTGACCTGAGCGAGCCAAAGGGATATTCCACTCCACAGCACATCATGCCCCGTGGATCAGCAGGATTTTTGACGGCGCTGTGCCAGTCCACAGGTGCTGAGCAATTGGATTCTGCATCACTGGGTTTGTTCTTTTTATTACCCATTAGCATTTTAGCTCATTCCCCACTTTATTATTAAAATGTTCTTACCTCAACCTACGTATTTTATTTTCTCCTCCCCATTCCTCCAGGTTGAGGAGAAGAGGGGGCAGGAGGGAATGCAAGTGGCTGCTGGCTGGGGTTAAACCACGACACACACAAAGTTAGATCCACGCACCATACACTCCTCCTTCAGCCCCCACACCGCCCCACCAGCCATCCCACCGTGCAACAGCTCTCCTCAGGAGCACTGTGCCTAGAGGGGCTCAAATAGATTCACCTGCCTGGCAAACCCCCCAGGCCCAGCCTGGTCTGCACCCAAACCCTGGGAAAAACACACCCAGATGCGGGGGAGGGGGAAATCCTCCAGCTGGGTTTAATTCTAAATTTCAGAAATTATAGAAAGACCTAGAAGAAAAAAAAACCACACAGAATGTAAGATCCATTCCCCCACCACACCCACACTGAGCCACCCTTGCTCTCAGGCTGGGGGAAAGAACAGCAAATTTTTTCCACATTTTATGTGGAAAAATTGCTTGGTAGAGCTGATCATAATCCATGCAGTGAGAGCTGGAAGCACTATGGAGTTGTTAGTGCCACATTAGTGAGATTAAGCTAAGGAAGCTGTACAGCGAAGATGAGCAGGAGGAGTTACCAGCTGAGACAGTGCAATCACCACAGCATTTGCCATCAAGGGTTTGGGGTATGAGAACCACAGTTAAGACTTTTTCCTTTCAATGCTTGTGTCTTACCTTTATTAAAGGTGTTACAGAACAACAGCCAGAGCATGCCAGTCTGCTAGCAAAGTGGGGTTAACAGTAGTAGAGAATCAAAGAGGGTAAACAACTTGTTGACCAACAGGTTTTTCTACATTTTTGTTGGTGCTATTGGAACAATGACACCGATTTAAGAGTGAGAAATTGCCTCCGGAGGATGAGCAAAATACATTTCATCTGCAAGTGATACCAAGCTTTTGTTTCACAAACTGTAGAGGAATGGCTCTGCGAAAAGGGATGTGATCTCCTTGAAGCTGACAACCCAGCTGGTAGTGTGGTGTGAGGCCTACAGCAGCTGTGACTTCGCCTTGAGCTGCTGATAAGGAGCTCTGACCGGCTCTGAGGCCAGTGTCAACCACTGGAAGTGGAATTCCTGAAAACATCCTGGAATGTGGACAGACACCTGCTTGCTCCAATCATAAGTTTAACCTGGACACTGGGACAAGGGCAATAAACCAATCATGTATCCGCTGCGCTCGCGTACTCTGTGTGAATGTCTATATATATCTTGTAAGTATTAAGAATAAAGGAGAACGACCATACTCATATTGAGACTCATCGTTACTCCAGGTCCGGATCCCACTCCAACAACAAACTCTGTAATTTGGAAAAATTAAGATATCACTGTCACTCCAGGAACTTTCTTCCTTTTCGGATAGCTGTCCACATAGCTTACAGAGAGCACAGGAAATTTGACAAACATCAATAAGCCTTCATTTTCACAGTAGCACTGGGGAAAAAAACCTTCTGTACCTTGCTCAAATGCATGAAATTACATAATCTGAACAACCTACAGCTGCAGATTTGATTCTCTGAACACATTCTAGTTTCCAGCTTACAGCAGAACCAATCCAAAAAGAAGTTAGTTTACTTGGTTTCAGAGGACCTTGCACAGTGAGCAAGGCAAATGTTACTACAGCTGCACTTCAGAGTGAAGAAGTTTTACTCATCCATCATACCTTTTATTCTCTAGTATCAGCAGGTGATCATCTTTAAGGAAGCTGAGGGATAACAACCGAGGAATATACCAGCTGCACTTTATAGATTAACCGCCACAAAAATAGAAAGCAACTATACCATATCTCAGGGGCTCACAAAACTAGTTTTTCATTTGTAACACTTGACGCAACAAGATTCACTGCAACAAGTGAAGAAGCTACATCTGTAAAGTGCTATTTTTGTTAGAAGTGGCGAAAAAAGCACAACTACAACAGATTTGGGTATTCCAAGGTGAGATTGTTGATGTCCTCCAAGTATTCAATTTCAAGCTCTGTGTTTTTTGATGAAATTGATGAGCCCATTTGTTGAGCTATCGTGAGATGTCACTGCAGCATCTGACTCCAGCTCTGGCTCAATTTTCTTGGCAAGTTGTTTTCCAAGCTCAACACTGTATTTATAAAAAGCAGGATAAGAAAGAAAAACATTACAGCTAACAACTTACAGTATTTATCATGAGACAGTGACATTAAAAAGATGCCAGTAAAAAGTAACTTTCCAGGGGACACTATGATTTTGTGAAAGGTTCCCCTCCAAATTACTGACAAAGTATTCAACTCAATGCCATATTCATAAACAACTCGAGTTCTCACAGCTGCTTAGCTGAACAGACAGCTCAAATTACAGGATGTCTGAAAAGAGAAAGTTTTCTTTTAAAAGTTAAGAGGAGTCTTTCCCCTCAGTATTCCCATGTTATGCAGCCTGTGCCCCAATACAGAACGCCTTCAGCTCACTACTGTTGACTGTTGAACATGACATTGTTCACAACAGAACGCCTTCAGCTCACTACTGTTGACCATGACATTGTTCACAAGACTGATTCTGGACACCGGACAATAAACAGCTGAGCGGCAGGCCTGGAAGCCTTCCCCAGCACTGCAGCGGGGTATGCAGAAGTTACAGCCTCACAGAACCTAGGATATTCTAACAGCTGGTTCTACTGCATCCTCACATTCCATAGTTAGGTTTGGACGCCAGTCTACATTTCCATGTGCAGCAGTGTAAGCTGGACTTAATCCTATCCCACTCCTGATTTCAGAGTTTATATAGCAGGTATCAGCTTTTACTGGACTGTTCTACTTTCAGGTTCTACTGTAATATTTTAGCTAAAGAATATGCTGTGGTAGCACAGCCCTAACACCACACATACAAAAAGACCTATCCTTCGGCCTTGAAGAAGGCAGTTCA